GGGGGGGGGGGGGGGGGGGAGACACGCGTGCAAGGTGATCACGTGTAGGAGAAAGAATCCTTCGCGCGCAGTTAAGAGCCTCGACATCACCCACACGCCCACACGCGGCATACCGACGTGCACACGCGAGCAGACGCACACAAACGCGCAAAATACGACACACACGCGTGCACATACCTATGTAGACGACTTCCATCTTGGGATATTCGACGGACGCAGCCACCGGATCGCCGACGTAATATCCAAGGGCACGCGTTATGCAGCGGCGGCCGATGCAACGAGATCACATCAATCACCGGAGATGCGCTGCGTCGGGCAGCGAGCGAGCACGCGTACAGGCGCGCGCGACCACGCGAACTGCGCGCGCGCGAACAGGAGTCACCCGCGAGGTTAGAATCAGCCGCGAGCGACGACGACGCTACGCCACTTGTTGATTCCGCACTGACAAGCCAAGAGGCACCGCTACGCCGTGACGCACACGCGACACTCGTGCACGTACGGCGGCGCCGCTCACTTACTCACTCGACACTCGCTCTCACTCACACACACCAGCCAGGCACCCAACGCGTCGTCTCGTCGTCACACGCACTCGTACGCATCGACTCCTTAACTTTCTCTCTCCCTCTCTCTTTCTCTTTCTATCTTCTCTCGATTCCGCGAACGAGACGGCGATCCTCTTCACGATCGCCGCCGTCGTGGTCGGAGGCCGCGCGACAAGACACCTCGCGACATCCCAACGACGACCGGTCTTCCGATGCACCACCGGGTCGAGAGAGAAACAGGGTCGCACCGAGAGATGAACTCGAGGATCGACGAGCCGACGACGGGCGCGAGGAGAACACGAGATGAGACGACACTTCCCTGTTTGGCGAGCTAACGTCAATCGACGACTGTCGAACACACTGCGCGCCGGCCGTGTCGGAGAGCAAACTGGCAACCTCGGACGGCTCGTAAGGCCCAACTTCCCCTACCGCGGCGACGTCGCTCTCCGTTCTGGTCTGACCGCGTAGCCTTTTCTATCGCGCATCGCGCTCTCCGTCGCTCCGATCGCGAGAATTTCCCCTTTCTCCAGGCCGCCGACGGGCCTCCTCCTCGCGGACGATCGCACGAGAGAATAATGAAAAGTACTTAATCATCCCCGTTTTGATGCTATTGCGATAAAAGGAGAGGCAGAAGCGATGGAATGAGACGGGAGATTCCCGGCGCGTGTACTCCGCTACCGAATCTGTCGAGGAGACGGAGTTTGCAGGAGATAACGTAAACGAATCATTTGTGTGCGATGATGAAGATAATGAAGTATGTGTAAATAAAAATATACTTCCTCCTCCGATTATAGATCCGTTTTCGACAACGATCCAATCGACGATGTATTCCTTCACTTGCTGTGATCAAATGAATCAAAAGTTACTTAACAAAATCTAACTTAATTAAAAGTTAATTAACTTATTAAAGTTAAAAGTTATTAAAATTAAGATTCGTATAGATATCCTGGGATAATTTTAATATTCATGAATTATTTTCATATTTAGTAAAATTATTGTAACTTATACAAGAAAAAAGTTAATAAGTTAAATTTAATAGATTTCAAATCAACTGATTTAAGTAAAAAGGTTAACACAATTAAAATTAAGTTAAGTTGAAAGTTATTAACTTTCTAAATTAATTTTTAATTGAGTAACTAATTATTATCCAAACCTAATTATCCGTATTACAAAGAATATGATTTGGAATCGGTTTCGTCATTTCTTTATCGCGTGTGAGCTCATCTTTCGCGTGCCTACCGCGAAAATCGTATCTTAAAAACAGTGTACAGTGGAGTTTCCTCGCAGAAAGAAATATAGTCTCAAGGAGACCGCGTGCGAATTGAACGTGCGGGCCCTACCTCGCTGACCATAAGACCCAATGTATCACGGGTAAACAGGGGTTCAGGAACCGGCAGAAGTGGTTTACCGGTGAAGCAGGTATAGATACCCGCTCACTTGGGGCCCGCCAACCGAAAAAGTCCATGATAGGTTGCACGAGCTAAAAAAAAAAGCGCCGACCCACAGTGATTTATATACGTGCTAAAAAAGCCCCGACTCTTTTATAGTTTCAGAACACACTATGAAATTTTTGCATAAACAACGTAATTTTAACGAAGCAATACGGACAAGCTAAAAGAACGAAACACCGAAAATAAGACTTTCTTTACTAGAAATTAAATCCCGTGGATGTTTAGCCATGAGGTAGTAAATTTATATCCAGCGTCGCAGTTAGCCGATAATGTAACGCTCATTTCCACTAGTGGCTAGATAACAGCTAAATAAATAAGTTAACTGATGATTAAACAAACGAAATTACGGTTACGCGATGAAAAATCCTAACGAGTTGCCAGACAGTAATGTAACGTTCACTTCTGTTTTATTCAAATTTTAATGGAATAACGTAATCTCAATTTTTATTTGTCTTATTCTTAAATATTATAGCGTCGGGTATAAAATAGCTAGATTATATATTTTAGAATAGATACTGCCGTCTACTCTATTATATATTTGATATGTAATGGCTAGACAAAGGCTAAATTACAACACTCATTCTATTGAATGACTACATTGTTCTATCTACATTTTATTGAATGATCAACCAGTAATGAATTAGTAGCGAGAATTTAATCTAATCTATTCATTAGCTAATTATTAGCTTTAGAATCAGGTCAACTAGATACATATTTACTCGGGTACGCTACGAATTCCATTTCAACACATACACACACATTCAGAAAAAAAATATAGTACAATAATCGTGACAACTATAAAGGTAACAACTCTCTACGAGTTTTGTACATAAATTTTAATTAATTTGTACATTAATTTTATATTAATGCATACATAGTTTAGTAAACTATATTATAGTTATTGCAAATAAATCTAAATGGTGTAATATAACATAAGCTCTAGTTATCGAAACCATTCGGATTCAGTTGCAATAATTACAAAATAGTTTATTAAATCATATTTTTTTTATTTTAGCATTAATTCTACATACAAAATTCGTACAGTTATCACCTATCAGTTATCACCTATGTTATTATATTTTTCCTCGAGCGTGTGTAGACGCGACGTCGTGGAAATATGCTGAAAAACTTTGCGTTTGATTGAACATCCGTATCCACTCTGACTATCCTGCTGTGAGGGATCGAGGAGAGACTCAAAGCAGAGGCGAATCGTATAATTCATAACGTTCATCCTAGATACTTAAAATAGACGCTTTAATATTCATACTCAAAGTAGACTTCACAGGCCGCGGAGCCGTTTCGATTCCGCCCCGGACTCCTTGCTCGTTCTCCAACTTTTATTCACACCGCGACGACGCAGACCTTTACGACCGATATCAATTTTCGATTACGTATGATCTCAGGACGAATCTCCAGCGAGGTCGGACCTCGCCAGCCACGTAGAGGAGAGCTGCAGAAGCTCGAATTTCCAAGCTTCGCGTTGCAGTTCCGTGGCTGATACGACGAAACTGGTACACTTTGTATCGACGCTAATGTATTCTCGATAGGAGTCCACGTGGTTGCACCGCGGAAACTCTCGTGTAATAACCCTGGAGATAGCATCTTGATGTCGTTACATATTGGCCACACTGATAGCGTTATGCATGGTCGCACGCGCGCTTTATAGGCACGTATCTAATTAATTTCATATCTGGAATCTGTTTACGATGACGCCAATTAGTATTATTACGGCTGGGAAAAACGTAAGGCGAAACACAGCGTGAGTCTGAGTCATTTCTCTACCTTTTTTTCCCCTCGCGTTTTATATACGAGATCCTTGAATTATATATAGGAATCTTCCAAAGAGCCGCCATGTCCTTTTATTTTTTAAGCGTTTCCATTCAATTCCGTTTCGATGAAAATTTAATCTCGACCTCAATCACAAGGCAATTCAGTGTCGGAAATTAAATAATTAAAGTAAAATGTTTATCTCTGGTATTCAGTTTATTCTTGATTACATTTTAATCTAGAAATTTTACTGTTAATTAAATATAGCACAAGCTATGAATGTTTAGTTTTAACTTTAAGTCTGTTTAAATTTTCAACATATATTGCTCATCGTGAGTTGTACATGGTAAAAAATCAAATCTAACATTTTTTTACACATCCTACAAAATACTTTAAATTTTAAGTCGAAATAACTTATTTGTCGCGTGTTATTTGCTCACAAATTAAAAATATTAATGAATTGTCACTAACATATTTTCTTCCAACACATGATATTCATTACTTTGACTTAAATTTTCTTCGTAATAGTAATATTTGATATTAAGTAATCGACATATTTGTGAATCTCCTCCTTTCCAAACGTAATAAATGCTATTTTCACGTTAAAAAATTTATTTATCATTCTTTTAATCACATTCTTAAGATATCATCAATGACTATGCTTGAAATTTTCTTAATTTTATGTCATTAGTTGATTCAATTAATATCGTATTTGAAAAATATGTTTCCCTCTGATGGGACGCGAACTCTGGAACTTTGGATTAAAAAAAATTAAATATAATTTATCCTATTTCAAGAGAACGTCGTAGCTGGATTACTGACTGAACTCGATATCAATAAAGTTACGATAATAACAGGTAACTGCTCTGACCGCTATTCACACCCCGCCGAATATATCTGAGATCTGTTCGTCCGCTCGTACAATTTCAGGAGATAGCCTTCCGCTATTTCCGAACTTATGGGACGCGCGAGACCGCAGAGCAAGAAGATTACTACAGCTTCCGGAGTACGTGTCTCTACTTCTTTGTCCGCGAAATAACTCCTGCGATGTGACTCGTTGCTCTCGTTCATTTCACGGTTACGATTTCACAGTTAACCGTCGTCTTTAACTACACCCAATAATGCGACTGTCACTTGAGTGACTTAATAAGACAAGAGTCTCTTTCGATTATCTCCTCGAAAATGACAATCGTAGTATACACACTTCAAAGAAAAAAAAATCTTAAATTCTAGAATGCAATTTTTATGATCTTTCGAATGTGACGGACGTATAAAATCAAAATTTTTAACTACGTTCGTATTTGATTACCTATGACAGATCCGAGGAATGCATGTAAATGCAATGATGCACTAAAATGATTTTGGGCAAAGGCAGATTCGTTTGGACATTCGCAAAATCGGCACGGTTTTATCTAATAATGGACATATTCGCTTTCGACAAGAGAAAGTAAACACACTAGTGGGCGTGGGAAATAGTTAGACCTACTTAGAACAATTATTTGCTAATTCGGGAACAATGCTATCGTTATCTTTTCGCGAATATTCTTTCTTCGGACAGTTATTTGGAGCAGCTCAAATAAACGTAAACAAAGAAAGTTTCAAACGAATTTCACCGTATAGCTCTTCTCGACAAGACATCTTTGTTTTGTCTTTTTGTTTTTTTAATATTCGTCTCTAACTGAATGTGAAGTTTCACATTTGCTGACGAACATTTCTTTTTATTATGTCGACTTTCATTCCTAACTGGCCCTAAGCTAAAAAAAGGCGAGTAATGTTATTACACCGCACGAGTTAAGAGTTAAATCAAATTTATTAAACTTTTGTGGTGTTACGTTGAGTAGAATTGCACATAATAATTCACACGATAATCTTATATGTATCACTTTCAAATGCACGAGACAGTCGACGAATAAAATTAGCAAATGTATTTCTCGAGCTTCCACAATTTTCCACAAGCAACGAAAATCACACACACACACACACGCACATACACACACACACACCCATACAATATATTTTTTTAAGCCAATTATAAAATTGATTAGAGAAGAAAGAGGAAATACAGAAAAATAAATTGAAATCTCATATGAAATCGGCGGAAATAAGAGTCACGTAAAGAAAGAAAATATC